GGTAAATCCTGTGTTCACATTGACTTGCATTATTATTTCAAATATTATCTCATATTATTAATTCTCATCTTAGGTGGTTTCTATTGTTTTAGTTTCTCTTCTTTCTATCCACTTCTATGTCAAGTAGTTTATGATTTTACACCACGGTTGCAGTAAAATAAAATAATTACTATTTAAAGTTCTTTGTAATTTGAATTATCCAACATTTTTTTATTCTTCTTAATTGAATGTATTGAATTTTCTTGGAGGAAGATAAATTTAAAATAAACATTACATCTTTGCAAATTATATTCCTCACTAGGCAATAAGGTAACTTAGGGCAAGAAGCTAATCTTGTTCATGTTTATATTCTCAATATCTTTCCCAGTATCTGGTTTATGGTAGATGGTAAGTACATGTTGCTGTCAGAAGATGAGTAAGAATATAATAGGGATCATCTTGTCCTTGGTCTTATGCTTTCTATTCTTAAGGCCACAAAACTTTTAGCTGGGCATTTTGTGCAGTAAAATGTATCACTCTTTTATCATCATGGGTAAAGATGTTAAGTGTGTGAGTGTGTGAAGCAGGGTAGGGCAATCAGACTGCCAAATTCTAGGGCACTGATATGGGAATAATTGACTAAATTTTATTAGAGCTAGATATTTGGGAAAATTAATTCAAATTGAATGACGTGATTTTGAGCAGAAGCATCAAAGAAATGGTGGGTCATCTATTCATCTATTGGAACAGGGTAGCTGAGAGGTAACGAGAATCTGAATTAGTATTTTGGCGGTAGAAAAGATAAGATTGCCTTAGGAAGAATAACCCCATTGTGGAGATGTTTGAATTGGATAACATCTAGTTCCACTCAGGTCTATAATTGCATGCATTTGTAGCTTCAATTTGTGGTGAATTTTCCTGACTTTTAAATAAGTCTTTATGGGAGGAATAATTATTAAATATGAGTTCCCTTGGAACATACAAGCTTGAGCACAGCTTTCTGAATCTGCTTAGTTTTCACACTGTAGATGATGGGATTCATCACAGGTGGGATGAGCAAGTACACATTAGCAATGAGGGTGGGCACAAAAGGTGGGGCATGTTTTCCGAATCTGTGAACAAAAGACAAACTGATCAATGGGATGTAGAAAATGGCCACGGCACAGAGATGAGAGATGCAGGTGCTGAAGGCTTTCTTCCTCTCCACAGGGGATGCAATTCTGAGCACTGAGCGGATGATCAGGACATAGGAGAGCAGGATAAAGAAGGAGTCCACTCCAGCAGTAGAGATGATTACAGTTAGTCCAAAGGCACTGTTGATCTTTGTGTCTGAACACGAGAGCTTCATCACATCAGGGTGGAAGCAGTAGGAATGGCGGAGCACATGGTTGTGGCAGAAGGACAGACGCTTAAGAAGGAGGACTAGTGGTGTCAAAATGACAGTCCCCCTGGTAGCGACTGCCAAACCAATCTGTGCAATCCTTGCATGAGTTAGAATGGTAGCATATCTTAAAGGATTAGAAATTGCGACAAAACGATCAAAGGCCATAGCCAGGAGCACTGAAGATTCCATAAAAGTGAAGAGGTGAATGAAAAACATCTGGGATAAACAAGCATTAAAGCTGATCTCTCGGACATTGAGCCAGAATATTCCCAGCACTGTCACCAGTGTAGAAACGCTTAAGCCAATGTCAGTGGTGGACAACATGGAGAGGAAATAATACATAGGCTCATGGAGGCTGGGCTCAGTGAGGACTACAAATAGGATCAAGGTGTTCCCAGAAAGTGCAGTTAAATAGAGGCAGCAGAAAGGGATGGAAATCCAGGCATGGGCCCATTCAAGTCCAGGGATTCCCGTCAGGAGGAAAGTAGAAGTAGAATTATGGAAGACTGACATTATGTTCTGCAGCATCAGTATTCTCTTCTAAGATGATGACTTTTTTAAATATAGAATTTTGATATTATTTTAGTTGAAGTTTAATATACATTCAGTAAAATGCACAAAACTTTAGAATACAGCTCAGTGAAGTTTGACATCTACATGCACCCATGTAACTACTCCCAAGATCAACTGATAGAGCAAAACCACCAACCCAGAAGCTTCCTAATGCCCCACGCTCATCAGTGTTCTCCCCAATAGTAACTATTTTTCTGACTTCTGTTACCATAATTACTTCTCCCTGTTCTTGATCTTAATATAAACATAGTCATGCATTGTATACTGGTTGTGTGGCTTCCCTCACTCAGTATTGTATCTGTGAGATTTATCACTTAACTAAGATATTTAACTGGGTTCAAAATAATTTCAATTTACTTAGCTAAGTTTATTTGTTTATCACTTACTATTTTGTACTCCCATCAATCACCTTGATTTTTTTTTTTTTTATCTTTCAACTGGATTTTAAGCTTATATTTATGATATGGTCTTATGAGAATTAGGGGTATTTTTAGCTAATCTTCACTTATTAGAGTTGTTTTATTTACCCAACTTAGTAAGCAGGAAAACATCTTTTTTTCTGGGACTACGTCTACCTAAGAATCCACCTCAGATGATGCCAGTTTACCTTGCCTCATTACATGTTTATTACAAGGAAGATGCTTCAGTTCCCATGAATGTAAAACTGGATATTCTTCTCAGTTTGTAACATTAAAATATTGCCTTATTTGTGATTATGGAACCTGACTCTGATGTAGTAAAAATCAATGAGCCAATAATAAGATTCTTTTGTAACGTGTATGCTCTGACCTTTAATCTAGCCTTTGTTTCTCATGGAATAACTGAGATATATATTATTGTGTAAATGATAAGATCATGTTCTATAAATTGTTCTAAATATTTTACATAGATGATTTCATTTGAGACTTGTGCCAAATCAAAGAGAAAGGTATTTTTATTACAGACACATAAAGTGAAGTTTAAAAATTTGGATAAATTGTCAAAGTTCATAAAAACTGAAAGAGATGATGTTGGGAATCAATCAGACAAAAAAAAGAGTTTAGAGCTTGTGTTATTAACATATACATTACATTATCTAATAATAGTAATAATGATAATAATTATGATATAATTCTACTTCAATTAATAACAACATAATTCTCTATTAATAGATAAGGCAAATGTGGCATAAACATATTTGCAAATCTCTAGTTATGTAAAATTTTGATGGTTCAGAGTTGAAACATATTTTAGGATTGCCTGTGTATTATATGATATGTAATTAAATTACTGAGACTTATTTTAGCGAATAATACATTTTTAAGCATAATATTGGATGCTACAATTTAACTAATTATGTAAATAAAATATTTATTATACAAATGAAGCTATTGCTTAAAATATATTTTAAACTTCTTTAGGATTTCAATTGTTCCTTTATAAGCCATTCAAGATCATTGTCACTAATATGCCCATTTTTATACAACTTTTATTATCTAATTTACTACATAGCTTACTTACATAATTAGATGAAAATTAATTTGATTATTTCTCCAAACATGTTGTCTATTTCTTTTTTCTTTTTTTTTTCCTTTTTGTCTTTTTTACTGACCGGTAACGGGATCGCAACCCTCGGTGTCACGCCTGTACCGGGGACCGGCAACGGGATCGCAACTCTCGGTATTGCTCCCGCACCACGCTCAGCCAGTGAGCGGGAACCGGTCTCCACATGGAATCCGAACCCTCGGCGATTGCTCCCGCACCACGCTCAGCCAGTGAGCGGGAACCGGTCTCCACATGGAATCTGAACCCTCAGCGGGAGCGATGCCGCGCTCCCAAGCGGCGCACTCTCCAGTGCGCCACTGGGCCGGCCCCATGTTGTCTATTTCTATATCTTTTCAACTCTGGAGGCATTCCTTGGACAATGATTTTTATTTATTTATTTTCCTACTTTAAAGCATTAATCTTCCTCCTAGGCTAATTTCCTGAATATTAGATACATATATCTAACTCTTTAATTTATCCACTTATATATCTCAAAGTAAGCTCAAATACAATGTTATTGCATCGAAATTCAATCTTCTCCACAGAGCCAGTTTTTATATTCTATTTTCCCCTTTTTGGTTAATAGGTCTATGGTAGCTCTATAGGTCTATAGTAAATCTAGAGATCTATGGTAGCTCCATATATCATGCAGCTTAATTCAGAAACCTGCATATACTCTCACCTCCCATCTGTTGATCACTAATTTCTGTCTTTATCACAACTTTCTAGTTCATGCACCATATTTCTACCAGTTTTCTTTCTAAGACTTTAAACAGACTTCCGCCTTAAATTAACTTTAGCACTATCTGAATAGTTGTTCCCAACTTTGTATTAAATTTTCAACACAGATAAAGGAAAAAAGGAACAAATACAAGAAGCACTAGTGCTAAAAATGATAAATATTCTAAATAGAGGATTTTTAAAGAGTGATTAACTTCCCTGAAATAAAGGATATGGACATGAATTGAGTGAAAATATAGGATAACCCTTAATACATTTCCATAGTCCATACTAAGGAATCCAGAGTCTGTACCAACATAAAAATTTGAGAATCAGGCATTTGGTTTTATAGAATGCCTAATTATACAGTGACTCAGGAATTTTTCCTTGTACAGACATTTCATCTCAGGAAAAATAGAGATAATGGTGTAAGTGGTGGTATTGGTAGCAACACATTGAATTTTACAATGAATATTTGCCATGTACAACTTTGTTAGCAGTAGAAGAGACAGAAGAATAGCAACACATTTTGGGAATTTAGGTTTTTAATTTCCTTTATGACTTCAAAATGGCAATGAACTAGACAGCATTAGTCACATGGGTATTATCTTTTTTTTTTTTTTTCCTTTTTGTCTTTTTTCGTGTCTGGCAACGGATCGCAACCCTCAGTGTCGCGCCCGTACCAGACCAGGACCGGCAACGGGATCGCAACCCTCAGTGTTGCACCCGCACCTCGCTCAGCCAGTGAGCGGGAACCGGTCTGTATGTGGGATCCGAACCCTCGGCGGGAGCGCCTAGGTCTATGGTAGCTCTATAGGTCTATAGTAAATCTAGAGATCTATGGTAGCTCCATATATCATGCAGCTTAATTCAGAAACCTGCATATACTCTCACCTCCCATCTGTTGATCACTAATTTCTGTCTTTATCACAACTTTCTAGTTCATGCACCATATTTCTACCAGTTTTCTTTCTAAGACTTAAAACAGACTTCCGCCTTAAATTAACTTTAGCACTATCTGAATAGTTGTTCCCAACTTTGTANCCGGTCTGTATGTGGGATCCGAACCCTCGGCGGGAGCGCCGCTGCGCTCCCAAGCGGTGCACTGTAGCAGTGCGCCACCGGGCCGGCCCCATGGGTATTATCTTAGTGAAACTGTAGGCTGCTAGAAACTGGGAATTGGACTAGAAACTGTACTCCACATAATCACACTTATTGGAACAGCAGCCATGAGCAAGCCACATACACGGTTTAATGGAAAAAAAGTCTGAAGAGATTTTGCTTTGTACTAGGGAGTGTATAAAAAAAATTAGAATTTAAAAAATATTGCATTAAAAATGGAAACATCTGAAAAATTCAGAGCATGAGCACATATGAAGATTTTAATAATGTTTGTAAACACCTGGCACATTACCTATCACATTATAAAGACTCAGTTATCATCATCAAAGATGTTAAAACTACAGAACTAAGAAGAAAACATTTTAAAGGTAATACAGATAATAGCATCATATACCATTATGGGAAGGAAAAAGAAGCACATTGGAAAGAAAAAACAAAATAATGATATACCAAAAAAAAAAAAATTAAAGTACATGTTGAACATAATAAAAAGCAGAATTAAGGTACAGTAATGTAAATCACTTTAATTTAGATAATGCATTTGAAAAATTCTCCTACAACGCAGAGGCAAAAGAATGGTGAAAAGAAAATAATGAGAAAATGAAATTTTGGAAGGACAAAAAATGAAAAGCCAACATACAGATACTCCCAGGAAAAAGAGATAAAAACAAATAGAAGAAAAACGTGTCCCAAAAAAGACTCCAATGTATGGAGGATAAAGGGGCTTAGTGTATTCTTGTCAAAATCTGTGAAGATCGAAACAAATACAAAATATTTGACTTACATGAGTTTGTTTCTAAAAATTAAAAATTTTCAAGGAGAACATATGGATTTCGTATAAAGAAATTAAAGTCAGGCTGGTTTTACAAGAAAAAAATAAAGAAATTTACAAAACATTCCATTCATGATGAAGAATAAAGATTAAAATATGTAAGAAAAAAGTTACCAAAAAATACCATGACTAAGACTTGTACACTGAAGATAACATAATATTGCTGAGGGAAATTTAAAATGATAAATAAGTGGAGAGACACCATATGTTTTTGGATTAGTAGACTCAATATCATTAGGATGGCTGTTCTCTAATGAATCTATAAACTCAATATAATATCAGCAGGCTTTTTTTTTTTTTAGAAATTGACACTCATTCTACAATTTATAGGGAAATGCAGTAGACTTATAATGAATAAACAATTTTGAAAAAGAAGACCCAATTGAGAGTACTTATACTACTGGATTTCAAAACTTAATAGTAAGTCACTGTAATTAAGACACATGGCACAAGGATTGTCATATAGATCAATACAGGAAAGTTGAGAGTACAGATTTAAAAGCTTACATTATAATCAATTGATTTGTGACAAAGGTGCAAAGACAAATGAGGGAAAGGAAAGACTTTCCAACAAATGTTGCTAGAACAATTAAATATTCCTATGCAAAAAAGTAAAAAATAAACAACAAAGAACTTAAGACTCTTACCAAACACTGTCCTCAGAATGGCCCTTATACCTAAATGCAAAAGCTAAAAATCTAAAATTTCTAGAAAAATATACAGGAGATTCGTGACCTTGGGT